TTATAAAACAGGGTTGGTAGGTAGGGTTTATCTTTTTTTTTCTTACGTTTTTTTTTAAATGCACTCGCATATTTTTCATAAAATCACATATATATTTAATATCAGGCACCAGTTTTGAAAGAAAAGAGAGGAAACCAGTTTAAAATTTTGATAACCGAAGCTTCAACACTTTCTAAATTCAACATTTATGAAAAACAAGAGTAAGTGAGCACAGGTCACATATGGTCGCCCCCAACATTGGGGAATACATGCTGTTGGAATAGCAAATGTTTCGCTGTCTATAAAAAAAACGGGCAAAAAGTTTAAGGTCGGGAAGTTTGTGATGGGGTCGGTCAGGAAACCGTAAACACACAGAATGTTTTTTATGCATTTAGCATGTACTTAAAAACGTGTTTTGTCTGTTATTGTTAGTTTTATTTGGTCCATTGGAAGTAACACAATGGATATCATGAAAAAGGCAGTCTTACTTTAAGCCATTTGTCCAGATTCAGGGTTAAGTAAACTTCCTTAGTATCACATTATCTTTGTTAACGGTTGTCCGTACACTTCCTCAAGGAGCTACTGAAAGTGTCAACCTGACATTCAGATTGTACACTGGTTTGGGACTCCTGACTGACCAGGGGGCGGTGCTGTAGCCTAGTGGTGAAAGCGTTCGCTTGTCATGCCAAACACCTGAGTTCGATTCCCCACAAGGGTACAATGTGTGAAGCCCATTTCTGGTATCCCCTGACGTGATGTTGCTGGAATATTGCTGAAAGCAGCATAAAACTAAACTCACTCACTCCAGAATGACCAGGGGTTAAAAAATATCAAGTCAAGTTTCCGTGTCGAGCAACTTAATTGTTCATTTGTGCATGGCTGTGGGCAGGAGAATTGCTGTGAATGAAACAACCTGTTACACTAGTGTATATCTGTTATACAGATAATTTTATGCTTACGTCCGTCTCTCCGTTTGAGACTTTCGAATGTCTGCAGGCTGGGCTATCTTGATAGAAGCAAGGCTCATTTAAACTTTATTTTTCAATAATGTATAGTATGAACATAGAATTTGTATACAATGGGAGTTCAAGTTCCAAAATAGTTATTAGAACAATATTGAACGAAATGACATGTTTAATCATCAAACATCAGTTTCTGTCTGGGAAGACAGTGAGAATTATTTAAAGGTCACATGCTACGTAAAACACAACTTTGCAGATTCTGATACCTTTCGGTATGGACTTACCGAAACAAAGCGTCAAAAATGCAAATTCAACTTATAAAGTTGAAAAATAACGCGATGAAAAAAAACGCGCGAAATCGGAGTTCAAACGTTTCACTAATTTTCCCCAGACTTTTCTGGGGGAATAACGGAGTTTCAACAGCTGGGATCGCTCATAGCTTGCGTGCGCAGTGAAATGTTCGGCATAACTTGGAGGGCGGGCTGTCTGGTGAATACTTCGGTGAAGGCTTTGGTGTGAGCTATTTTCATAATGTTTTGTTGATATCTCACTGCGCCTTGAGCTTTTGTATGTTATGAGAGTAAATAAACTGTTTATATAATTTCATTTGTCTATTTCCACCACGTTCTTCTTACCGAAGTCACTTTCTCAGTTCGATACTTAAAAGCAATGTCATTATTAAGCGTTGACACAATTTCTAACTGTGATATAGATATGTAAGCTGTCACAGACAAAACTCAATGTCTTGTTTTATTGACACCTGTGTGTCTGCCTGCCTGTCTGCTAATGACAATATTCAATACACAACTGCGATCACTGACCACATGCAATTTGAACTTTACACCAATCAGGCTATACACCATAGACAACATGCATTGGTTTATGGCCCGAGTTCGGTCTCTGTCACATTATGTAATTACACAGACAGGCAGGTGTGATACTTGAACACATGACATGTTATGATGTCTGTTGATTGCAAAATGTTATACACAAAAAATGAGCATGTATTTACAAAACCCAACATCTCTATATATACAAACACAATAAGCCGTGAAGGCGGCATCTGCTAATGAACCAGCCGTTACACTTGAGTGCACACCCACCCGCTCTGACTGGGTTTGGTATCCGGCTGCTTCGTTTCGAGGGAGGTAAACCCAAGTACAAAATATTGCACTTTTGATTTGCGATTATACGCTTATAATTTTGTTTATTTGTTTTTTCATAATCAGCAATGCATATTATATGTCATGAAGAAGTGATAAGTGTGTTTTAATTATGTTTGATTTTTTGGTTGCATGTGACCTTTAACAAAAACAGTGTCTGCTCTAAATGTGAAATTGCAATTTACAAGCAGTGGCAATTTAGAAAGCAACAACATATATTGAACAGTGAAGTTTCACATTAGTTTTGAACTGAGTATTACAACATTAATAATCTGTAAAGAATTTTTTTGGATAAAATTGTTAAAACAATTAAATATATTACAAGAATAGGAAAGATACCACGGTACCAGTGTGACATTAAATGAGTAAAAAAGACATAATAGTTTCAAAAGATTGAAGGAGAAACTGATTCTTAGATACGATTTTTTTAATTGTAAAAAATCGACAATTTAGAAAAGAAATAAAGATGTTGAGACTTGCATTAAGTCAAGTTAACATTTAGAAAAACATTTTAACTCCTGCTTTTTCTAAATATGTACTTCCTTTCTGATCTGAGGCAATGGGGTAGCCTATTGGTTGAAGTGTTTGTTGTCACGCTGAAGACCTGGGTTCCACTCCCAGCATGTGTACAATGTGTGAAGCCCTTTTCTGGTAATCCCCACCGTGATATTGCTGGAATATTGCGAAAAGCGGCGTAAAACTACGCTCACTGACTCATTCCTTGCTGATCTCCTGGAGCCACTAAAGTAAGGCCAGAAATGATTCCAAAATGCTTTTTGGCTTCAATATCAATATGATGAATTTAACACAAGATAAAAGCACATATATGATACATGTACGACTCTACCTAGTTGGATATTAAAGCTCAGATGAAAAAATGCAATTGAGGGGTGACTCACAGGAGGAAATTTTGACGGCATTTTAACAACATTTGTAAATATTCTAAGTACAAACTGTAGTTTTGAAATACAGACTATAATTATTCATATAGCCTCAACTAATTAAATTACGTAAATGATTGTACAAAGTTGTTTGTTTTTTTAACATCTACATGTGAAAAAGAAGAAACGCTTGTAGTAGTTATGTTCAAGATAATTATGTAAAATAGTCTTAATTCAAATCACATAGACAATCTTGTTCACCCATAGATGTTTCACTTCGTGTATGAGCATTGAACTGGAAACATGCGACTTGATATCTCTGCAGAACAGTTAAATTTCAAATTTATTCCAGTATTTCATACTGGAGAAACAAAGGGGGAAAACTCTCGTCAGCTATGACCGGGTTTACTAAAGCCCTTAATTTGACATATAGTCAGGTTTACAAAGTTGTAACCAAATCGGTTACCTCAGGGGTCGTGTCAAAATCAAAACCAGGTAGGAATCACAAACTGGATAGCTTTGATAAGGGTGTCATACGCCGTGCAATTTATAAACTGTTTGAACGCAAAATCCCACTGACGTGTGCTAAAATACAAGGCGAGATCAAAGATACATTAAATGTCCTGTTGTAAATCCACTAGAGTCCTCCACCAGCAGGGGGTAGAATAGGTCTTCAGCAACCCATGTGCTTGGCATAAAAGGCGACTATGCTTGTTGTAAGAGGCGACTAACGGGATCAGGTGGTCAGTTTCGCTGACTTGGTTGACACATGTCATCGGTTCCCAATTGCGCAGATCGATGCTCATGCTGTTGATCACTGGATTGTCTGGTCCAGACTCGATTATTTACAGACCGCTACCATATAGCTGGGATATTGCTGTGTGCGGCGTAAAACTAAACTCACTCACTCCACCAGCAGTGATACTGACACTTGATATTTTAAGACGGTCCCTGACATGCACTGCCCGTGCGTTACATAACGCTGTCACCCTGTCACCCTGTCACCCTGTCTGCCTGCCAGGTGGGTCACAGTATAGTTTGTTTCTTAGAAGACTCAGGGATAGAAATACTTTTTTTGTAAGTGCCTTAGGCAGAGATGCCAACCCTTAATCTAAGAAAAACGGAGTCGTGACTGGCTGAAAGCCAGGCCTGAGCACCAAATGTGCGAGTTGGGGGTGATCGTATGGTCGGCTCTGCCATTTTGCTTCACTTTGACATGCATTCGGAAAAACTTTGTGAATTTTCATCGTCAATAACACGGAATATCCACAATCGACACCCAAAGGATCAAACACTAAGCTTCTGAATGCTTTTACCAGTGTTCACTCAAATAAATCACCGGCGACTTATGAAATTGTCTACCGCAAAAATAAATTCAGAATTTTTTCTCAAAAATAGGAGTTTAGTGAAAATCTGAGAGCAGATTTTGTATTTGAAAATCAGAGTAACTCCTCCAAAATCGGAGTGGTTGGCATCTCTGCTTAGGGCACCAGACAATATTTTAGATGTGGGTACAGTGAATAATATTGTGTGTCCTTCTGGATGCTGTGAATTCTTTCTACATTTGAGCATACTGGACGCACATTTGCGTGTCACGTAAAAACCTTGGTCGAGGCATTTATTATTATGTTACAGTGGTCAAAAATGGATTTTTTCAAACACAAGATTGATTTTGAATATGAATTGCTATCTATGACCAAGGAAAACCAAGTTCTATGGATAGTCAACTTCTTTATTGCAATGAGTGTGACGTTTTGGTGTAGGTACTAACACCGTTATTAAGCAAGTGATGCCGGTGTTAGTACCAACACCAAAACGTTGCAATAAAGAAGTTGACTATCCACAGAACTTGATTTTCCTTCATATATACAATTTCTAAAATGCCTCTCAAAGAAGTTATCTATGACCAATTAACAGGACGGCTTCAACAACAGCTATGGTATTTAATGTGTGAAAGAATGTGTGTGTATTGTTTCTCACATGTAAAACGTATGCTAATATCTCCTGTTTTTCAGTTCTGGGAGGTGATCTCCGACGAGCACGGCATCGACCCCACCGGCACCTACCATGGTGACTCCGACCTCCAGTTGGAGAGGATCAATGTCTACTACAATGAAGCTTCTGGTAGGCACAATTTAGTAACGTGATACAGGGCTCATCAGCAGAAATATGTCTCGTTTCAAAGAACCAACACTTTTCTTCTGAATCAAGGATATTCAAGTAAGATGCAACAATCAGGTATTCATCTGGACCTAAGTGGCCATATCTGGCTATGAAAACAAAGTCATTCATTATATGTAGTAGACCACTGATTGATAATGTTAAAGCTATCTCTTGAAAGCTTTGATTTTCATCTTTTCAGGAGGCAAATATGTCCCCCGTGCTGTCTTGGTCGACCTGGAGCCCGGCACTATGGACTCTGTCCGATCTGGTCCTTTTGGACAGATCTTCCGTCCAGACAACTTCGTGTTCGGCCAGAGCGGTGCTGGCAACAACTGGGCCAAGGGTCACTACACAGAAGGTGCTGAGCTGGTGGACTCTGTGTTGGATGTTGTTCGCAAAGAGGCAGAGAGCTGTGACTGTCTTCAGGGCTTCCAGCTGACCCACTCTCTGGGTGGCGGCACCGGGTCAGGCATGGGCACCCTCCTCATCAGTAAGATCAGAGAGGAGTACCCCGACCGAATCATGAACACTTTCTCCGTTGTGCCATCACCAAAGGTAGATGCTTACAAAGATTAGTTACCAATGAAGAGTGCATCTCTGAATTTACCAACATGATATTTTATATTAGGTTGGACAAGGGTTCAAATCGCCTTAGGCCCCACCATGCTTGTGCAAAGTTGCCTTAGTAAGAGAAACCTGATGTATGTTCCAATTCCCATTTGCAAGCATCATACCCTTGCAGATGGAATTGCATATCTTCTCTCGCTTCTGCAAAGGTGACATTTTGTAATATAACTGAAACATGTTTGACAGCGGTGTGAAACAGATCCGTCTCATACATTTTCAAGTTAACACTTCCAGTAATTCTATCAAAAATGTATTTGTTAAAAGAAATCAAAATCAATTATATCATTTATGATATCTTATATTATTTTAGGTATCCGACACGGTCGTCGAGCCCTACAACGCCACTCTGTCAGTCCATCAGTTGGTTGAGAACACAGATGAAAGTTACTGTATCGACAACGAGGCTCTGTACGACATCTGCTTCAGAACACTGAAACTGACCACACCCACATACGGTGACCTCAACCATCTTGTGTCAGCCACAATGTCCGGAGTGACCACTTGTCTGAGGTTCCCTGGTCAGTTGAACGCTGATCTCCGTAAACTGGCTGTCAACATGGTACCCTTCCCCCGTCTTCATTTCTTCATGCCCGGCTTCGCTCCCCTCACCTCCAGAGGAAGCCAACAGTACCGTGCACTCACAGTGCCCGAGCTCACCCAGCAGATGTTCGATGCCAAGAACATGATGGCTGCCTGTGATCCCCGTCACGGCCGTTACCTGACAGTAGCCGCCATGTTCCGAGGCCGCATGTCCATGAAGGAGGTCGACGAACAGATGCTCAACGTCCAGAACAAGAACAGCAGCTACTTCGTTGAATGGATCCCCAACAACGTCAAGACCGCCGTCTGTGACATCCCACCACGTGGCCTCAAGATGTCGGCTACCTTCATTGGCAACAGCACTGCCATCCAGGAGCTGTTCAAGCGCATCTCCGAGCAGTTCACGGCCATGTTCAGGAGAAAGGCTTTCCTCCATTGGTACACTGGCGAGGGCATGGATGAGATGGAGTTCACTGAGGCCGAGTCCAACATGAACGACTTGGTGTCTGAGTACCAGCAGTACCAGGACGCTTCAGCTGAGGAAGAGGGAGAGTTTGACGAGGAAGAAGAGGGAGAAGTGGCTTGATTCATGTCAATCGTTTCTTCTTTGAAAGATCCTGTCGTTTCAGTCTCATGTCACAGTTTGTCCATTAGGACAAGAGTTTTTTTAATCAATGTCTCTAAAGGGTCCATTATATAAACAGTATTTCTGGTCAGCGTGCTCAAGGGTTTCATGTTTCATTCCTTTTGTCCTTAATCAGTATTACATTTCAGCATTCATTTGACATGTCCCCTTCTCATTTTCAAGTTTGTGCCAAAGACTGATTGGTTGATCAAATTTAAGGTGTGAGACACTGAATATAAAATATTCTGTGTTTGCCCTTGTTTTTATCACCTCTTGCCAACGTGGTAATCATTCGATAAATGTGTTGTGATTGGGAACTTTATTTTTCTTGCTGAATTTCATCTGTTTTTTGACAATCATATTGTTTACACATCAATTATTGTGCAATGCCTCTGCTCAGTTTTCCTGTTGGATTAATTTGATTGCATTGTACAGTTCTGATGCTGTTACAGCAATTAAAATGTTGAAATATTGTTGTTTCTGTTGTGGCATATTACAGTGGTAACACAACATCTGGTCCATAGTAGAATCATAAGGGGCTTATATGTTTTCTCTCAAAATCAACATATTTTATATCAATCACTTGTGATAAATGAGCTCCAGAGTAATTACATTTGACAAAGATGTCGTCTCTGACAGTTTTGGATTCAGATACTAAAAGGATGTGTGATGATATATTCAATATTCCACTGTGAGAAGTGTTTAATGAAATTTCACAAGGGACTGTTCAATTCTCAACACGCCAAAGACCCGGGTTTGATTCCCCACATGAGTACAATGTGTGAAGCCCATTTCTGGTGTCCCCGCCGTGATATTGCTGGAATATTGCTAAAAGCGGCGTAAAACCAAACACTCATTTCACAACAGCCTGGTGCAGGCAAACCATTGATATGAGTAATCATGCTTGCAGTTGGACCATCACCCATGCTGTTGATGATGCTTCAAGTCCTTGTGCAGAAACCTTTTCAACAGCTGATTCCTAGATTCACCCTGATTGTAGTTTTGTGGGGACCATTCCCAATGAAACCTGTCTATTAGGGTCTTACCTCCCTCATTAAAATGACATGACATGATTTAAATGAACGCAGTTTAAACTGGCATTACCCCAAACTCTGCTGTTCTGCAGCACTGGGTGCGCAGAACTTGTCTAAGGCACTGTGGTTTGATATGTATACGTTAGCACCCTCCTCAAGGATGATATGGATCAAACCATTTATGGTTTGAATCCATATGAAAAATTAAATCACCTTTGATGCATGCCAGAAACCTTGAACATGGGTTAGTGGTATGAGAAAAGTTAAATCCAGGTTCAGACCTGTGTTCGTTGAGGCACCATGTCCTGTGGGTTTCAATCAAAGTGGTACATATGGGACCTCAGAGATCAAGTTCTTTCCTCCCACAATAGGGGCGGTAGGGTGGCCTAGTGGTTAAAGTGGTCGATCGCCACACTGAAGACCTGGGTTCAATGTGTGAAGCCCATTTCTGGTGTCCCCCTCCGTGATATTGCTGGAATACTGCTAAAAGGGGCATAAAACTAAAACACTCTCAGTCACTCACTCCAGTCATAAGAAGATGAGAAGTCTTGATGCAACTGGAATACAATTCAAAGCAGGGATGAATCCAACTCGCTTGCTCCTCTACTCTGCCCTTAAAAACACTTCATACTTAGGAATCTATTCTTTCTTTTAAATCCCCATAGAGGGCATGAATATTTTTAAGTTACTGATACATTTAGAATCCCTAATAATTCCGGTCAACCAGAGTTATGTCAGACCTTTAATATCTTAAATGAATTTAAGTCCCAGATAAAATCTAAAGTATTTGAATTGTCCTAATAAACAATGAAAAGGAGACCAGACCTGTTTCATTTTCCTGAAACAAGTAAGACTTGTATGACTGACCACATTCATGTTTGGAATGGGTTAATTGAACCACCAGGTAATGTAACATATGTTATATTTGGGATTACACTTTCTCAGTAAAGTACAGATTCTAGTACTTTTGTTGGGTTGAGACCCATCCAGGATTCGAAGCAACACCCTGTCAGACACCTAATCGCCAGCACACAAAGTCGGACGCCTTACCTGTTAAACCACCGCAGCTTCCACGAAGTAAAGAAAGTGTAATTCCAAATATAATACCATGTCACATTTGACCACTTTCTAAATGGCATTGTGTACTTATACCACAAGGTAATGCTTACTGTCTTGTGATGTCTGTTAAGTGCTTCATTGTCAAGGACTCTCCAGAAACAATTGTTTTTATATAACAAACACGCTCACAACATAAAAGACCATTATCCTTATTGTAAGTTTGTGTAGATGGATGCTCATGCTGTTGATCACTGGATTGTCTGGTCCAGACTCGATTATTTACAGACAGCTGTGGGGATTCGAACCCGGGTCTCCGGCGTGACGAGCCAACGCTTTAACCAATAGGCTACCCCACCACCCCTACACAGTATGAAGTAAATTAACTAATAGTGTGGTAGGATGGGTACAGTTTTCAAGTCCCGTGGAAGTTTTGTGATTAAAGCAAGACATTGTGTTATTTGTATTCATCAGACATCGTAGTTAAATAAAAAGTTCGGTTCCAAGTTGAAATATGGTGCAAATAGTAATTTTGAGCACTGTACAAAATGGTTGTGGAAAAGGTTGCTAAAAGGTCAGAAGGTCAAAGTGGGCGAGTTGAATATTTAAAGTTTAAGGTTATTAACTTTATCCAAGTGTGTTCTCCATTTCATGAAATATTTTATTTTAAAAAAAAAGAATTTTTTTAATTAAAACAAAATGAAAATAATCAACACTCCCTATCTCAAAATGGCAGCTATCAGACGAATTTAAGCAGATGTAGGTTTTGTGCATTTTGTAAGTATATTTTTGCTTCAGTTTATCAAATCAATGTAAATCAAGCTATTAATAAAAATGAAAGAACAGTTATGTATGTATGAAACTAAAAAGAGATGTCTATTTTTGTTTGATGAGACTGTCAGTAAGGGAGCAGTCCTAATTTCAAAATGTAGTTGGTCAATATCAAATTATCCGTTATCCAATTCTTATTAATACGTTTAAAATTTTTCTTCTAAAAGCAGAGTTCTTTGAAAATAGATACGAATATAATGAAATGATGGGGAGAAAACATTATTTCTGCTTCACACTCATTAAATCCCCTTGAAATAATTTTGAAGTCATCGGATCGGATCATTCTAAAATAGTTATAATCTTTGAAAAAAAATATATACAAATAAATGTAGGGGAGAAATCCTTTTTTTATCAGCAGCATAGGAGAAGGCACGGTCTCCATATTTAGCTTGTTTGACTTTGGGGATAACAAGAAGGTGCTGATTCCCTGATCTCAGAGATCTAGATGGTGCATAAGCCTGAAGATCTGAGAGGTAGACTGGAGCCATGTTAGTCATGCACTTGTATGCGAGACAGAGGAGTTTGAAAACGATTCTGTGTTTCACGGGCAGCCAATGGAGGTCCTTTAGAGTTGGTGTGATGTGCTGTTTTCTGGAGATCTGGGAGGTAATGCGAGCAGCTAAATTCTGTATGCACTGGAGTTGGCCAGTGACACAAGATGGAGATCCAGCCAAAAGGCCGTTACAGTAGTCCATACGTGGTGTGACTAGGCTGAGGCAGAGAGTTTTGGAGGCATCTTTGGTAAGAACGGTCTGGCCTTACTGATATTGCGAAGATGGAAGTAGCAAGTTTTAGTAACATACTTGACGTGTTCTGTCATACTGAGATCTTGATCGATGACAACACCCAGATCCTTGACAGTGGAAGAAAGTGGAATGGTTGCTCCACAGACAGACGCACTAGTATTGTCACATTGCTTGAGTTTTCCAGCCTGTCCCAGAAGAATGGACTCTGTTTTCTCTTTATTTAATTTCAAGGCATTTGATGACATCCATGCATATCTTCTGGCAACAGTCTGATGTCTGACGGAGAGACGCTCTAGATGACTCTGTGTTTGGTTGAAATAACTTCCACAGCTGCGTGTCATCTTCGTAGTTCTAAGTGGTCAAGGTTGTGGTCTGCTACAATAGAGCCAAGTGGAACAGTATAGAGGGTGAAGAAGATCGGACCAAGCACGGATACTCGAGGGACTCCGGACTCAAGCCTAGATGCGGTTGACATAGACTCACCAATAACAACAGTTTGAGTCCTGTCCTGTAGATAAGGAGCCAGCCATGATAAAGCTGAATCCTTCATTCAAAGTTCTGTATCAAATCTTTTGAGGAGTCTCTGGTGATCTATCGTGTCAAAGGCACTGCTTAGGTCAAGTAATGTGAGCAGGGCCACTTGTACTGTGTCAATACCACATCATAGGTCATTCAGGATCTTCAGCAGAGCCGTCTATGTGCTGTGGTGTGCTCTGTAGGCTGATTGGAACACCTCATAGAGGTTATGCCAGGAAAGGTGTCCCATGAGACGACTGGAGACTGCACGTTCAATGAGCTTGGATATAAATGCTAAGTTTGAAACAGGCCTGTAGTTTTTTGGATCCGCAGAATCAAGGCTTGATTTCTTCACATGTGGCCTAACTAGAGCTGACTTGAGTACACGTATGACATAACCAGATGAAGTAGAAGAGTGGTAAAAGTACGTCAAGACAGTCATATAGAAGGTCAGTTGGAATCGGATCAAGTGAACAAGTTGTTCTTTTTGCAGATTTCAGTAGTTTAGTAACTTTAGTGTCAGTGAAACTATCAATATGAGTAAGAGGCGTGCCATCAAACATTTTTGGAGGAAAATCAGCTTCAGCCACAGCCATAGAAGACGAAATCTTGTCATGAATGTCTTAGATCTTTTTGTAGAAATATTCCGAAAATGTCTGTGCTGTTGCTTCATTGTCATCAGATGTCGGAAGTGACGATTCCCAGTGTTTACCCAAGATACTGAACAAAAGTTTGAACAGCAACTTTGGACTTGACTCGTTGACTTCAATCTTAGAATTGAGATGTCGATTTGGCTGATGACCATTGTTGAGTGATTTCTGGCTGAAATATACATTTGGTGATGAATCTCCAGGAAATATTTTTTCCATCTGCGTTCTGCTTTCCTCTTGTCTCTTTTATCTTGTCGAACTTCAGGTGTGAAGTCCCAAGCAGATGTTTTAGTGACTGGTATGACTCTGTCCTTCACTGGTGCATGGTTGTCTAGCAGCTCAGATAGAACTCTATTGTATAGCAGAACGAGACTTTCAACATCATATTGTGGCTCAAGTATAAGGTCTGAGTTTAGCAAATTGTCTTTAAAAGTATCCTTATCCAGGGAGCGCATGTTCCTACAGCGAGGAATCTTCACATTTGGACTGGGTATTGAGAGGTCCAAGCTCACAAAGATATGGAAATGATCAGAGAGATGTAGATCCTATACAGATGACACATGCGTCTGAAGCATGGTTAACTATCCAGTCCAGAGTGTGTCCACCTCTGTGGCTTGCCTCTGACACAAGTTGTACACAG